TTTGTCTGAGCCAGTAAATAAACTCCAGTCAGCCCATCTGTAAGTCCACAAAAACAAACGTCGGCTGTCAAGAAAACAGAAAGTAAACGAGATGAAGGGCCACTTGCATAGAACGAGATGGGACGGGGCAACAAATCTAATAAGTTAGCCAGCAGAAAACGCTGGAGCAAACAAACTGAGCCGCATTTATCTCAACCGCAAAAAAGACTGCCATATTTCATTTTAAATGCAGCACCTGCAGCAAGACAGGCCAGGAATGGCAAAGGCACAAGCACAAAAAAGTAAAAAAAAAATATATATGGCGAAATACGCACAAACTTGCTCACATGAAAAATGCTGAAAACGAAATGTCAACGACGGAAAGTTGAGGACACAAAAAATTAAAAAGAAAAAGGACGAGGCCAAAAGGCGGCCGACCACAGGAGTGGCAGATGTAATCAACAACATCAGCATAAACTTGGCCGACACACACTTACACACAGATAAAACTGTTGGCGGATAGGAGACACTGTTAGAAAATCCGTGCAAAACTTTTTGCCAGCCCTCACAGCTGCAGTGGGGGCGTGGTTTAAGGGAGGGGGCGGCCAACAAGACATATCTAATAACATTAAGTAGTTTGCGCCGTCGTTTGAATTATGGCCACGTTCGCCGATGCCAGCCTGTGTGCGATGAGTGCTAAGCAGCTCCTGCCACCCATTTTGGGCCTAGTTTTTGCCAGCATTTAATTCGTATGCGTTTGCTAGTTGGCCACTTTGCACTACTTTCGCTTCCTTTAGCCTAGGCTAAAACTGAATTTTAAAAAATTGTTGCCAAGCACGAAAGGTAACCAGGCCAATGTGGGCGAATGCGGGGCCAAAATGCTCCCTGAAGGTCAACTGGGAGAGTAGAGAAGGTCCTTAGCCTAGCATGGATACGGCAATGGGTTCGAGGACTGCAAATATCAGTTGGGACATTTTAAAAAGCTATTTTTTAAGTTATGATTGGGAAAAGGCAATTAGGAAAACAATCAAGAACAGCAAAAGACATTTTAAGAATTATTCAAATAAGACAGTTTTTATAGATTTGAATAATTATCTAAACCATTTTTACTACTTCCGATTAACTAAAAGCAAAATCAGCATTTTGGAAAATATATGAGATCGTATAGGTTGAAGTAACTTTGACCGGTAAGTTCTTGATTGCATTTTATTCAGACATTGTTGTACTCAAATGTCTTAATATAATATGATATATTTTAAAAATTATATCATATCCTTTATGGCTGCGTTGCTTGCCAAAAACAAACTACGAAAGGTCAAAGGTAGGACCGCCCCGAGCAACCCTCAACACTCTAGTGAAAACACGAGAAACGTGTGCCCCAAAACAACCAACAACACCTGAACAAAGTTGTCTCGACTGGCAGACAACGACGACGACGATGACGACGCCAATGCCAAAAGCGAGAAGCGAAAAACGGGAAACTTTTCGCAGGGAAAACTTTTCATTTGCATTTTTTTTTTTTTTAATATTTTCATATTTTTCAAGATGCGAGCCAAGCAGATACTTTCGTTGCCCACTGTCTGCATGTGCGAAAGTGGCCTGTGTGTGCGCCTGTGTCTGGCCTAATTAAAACGATTGTGGCGTTAATGTAATTGCTCGGAAATGAGTAACGCTCCTGTGGCAACAAATTAGCAGCACATTACAGGTAAACAACATCAACCAGCAGCAAGTTCGAAAGGACTTGTAATTTATCGGTATTAGCCGTCTAACACGACAATCAAAACACAAACAACTTCAATTAATATTTCACAGCCGATAAAGTGTTCGATTGCATCAATGAATCAACCGACTAGTATGGCTATACGTATATGCAAAGCGTATATATATAATATAATCACTTTTCACGTTTGGTTTGCGGCAACTGTCATTATCATTTTTCATGTTGCCCCGCTGAATTGTGTTTGGTTACTTATTGTTAGCAGCTGTATATACTTATGGACATTCTTCCCTTTTTTCTCTGCTCGTTTGTTTGCCTGACTTCTTTCGGCAGGTCTCAGGTTTCCTTTTATTATTACTTATCCGTAATTCAATTTATCATTATTTATGCGTTATGAATTGTTTCGATTATATAAGGCCCGCAGATTGCTCTTTTGTTGCCTACAGTTTGTTGGTTGGATTTATAACTTAGTTGATTTTGTATATAAAAAATGAATTTATATTTTAGTAAGATGCTTATGTGATCGAAAATTTATTTAATTAAATTTATGTTTTATTAACTTTTGAACTTGAAATCTGAATATATTTTTGAATTTCTGATTTTTACAACTTTAGAATTTATCTGTTTTGAAAATTCCATTATAAAAAGCCTTCAATCATGAGTAATGAAAATATTAAATTAAAATCATATTATTTGTGCTAATATTTTTCATTAATTTTCCAACCAGTAACAACATTATGTGGGGCCATAAATTAATTTTCCTGAGTGATTTAATTGATTTATTGATTGCCTTTCCATATTATAATTTCTTTATGAGTTCTTTATGTTAAACAATATTTGCATATTTTGTTTTTATACATTAGATTAATATATTAATAATTTAAACATATTTTGTTGTAGATAATTAGCCACGAAGAAGAATATTATTGATTTATTATTTTATTTTTGAACTTGCTTGATATTTAATATCGTTTATAATTGAATTTGAATTTATAAGTTGGTCGCCATTTTTATATTATTCATATTAATATTTAATTTGTCGACCTTAGTATGTTGCTTTTGTAATGCACACATGCCAATCAGAGTAATTGACGGTGGAATTTAAAAGGTTCTGTTTGCAATCGTTTTCCTTTTTATTATTGATTGATTTCGATATTGAGTGTTGTTGTTTGCGTTAGTTTTGCATATTTGCAGTTGTCACTCAAGCGACGCCGCCGTGCTTAGTGGATGTGGATTTGGATGCCAGGTCCTTTGCTATTGGATATCCTTACCTGCGGGACACGACTGGTGGACAACGACAAAATCCACAATCAGCCCAGCGACGTCGGAGTGACAATTACATGGTGGCCGATCGGACTCGGATTGTTGTGGTCACCTTGATACGGTTGTGATTGTAATTCCATATTACATTTGCACTGCAATTTTTGCATTTTTTATTCTGCACGAAACTCGCTTCGCCGCAGCCAGTTGTGAACCGAATCAATTATTAACCGCATTCTTTGCACACAAACATCTTCTTGGGTGGGCGTTAGTTAGTCCTAAGTTTTCCTTTCCCAAGTTTTCCCTTTTCCGAAGTCCTTTTGCGTATCGCGTTTTTTATATTTTATTTTATTGCTACCGACGACGAATAGAAAAATGGTAGAAATTCATATTTTATAGGCGCGGACGCGTGGCGTGGCTTGGCATTGCGAACTACTGCAGCTCCCGAGCTGTGCTGTGTAGTGTGCTGGGCTGTCGAGCGGCGAGGACGACGGAGAGCCAGCGGCAGACAGGAGACCAGCAAGCTGCCAGCAGGACACGCGCGAACGGGCACAACAAAAACACGACTGAGGCCGCCCAACGGCCACCAACGAATAACGAGGCGAAATTGAAAGCGAGCGCCGAATCCGCAAGCCGATGGTTGGCTCGTTTTCGAATCGGACTCGTTTCCAGGACTCACTGCGATTCAGCAGGATTCAGGTTGAACGAAATTGAAAGCGCCTGGCCGCCGCCCGAAGTGGGTCGCCTCGTTCGTCCGTGTCCTCGTCCTCGCCCTGCATTGCGGGCAGGATCGGAGGAGCAAAAGGAGCAGCAAAAGCTGGAGCGGCTGAAGGCATGTAAACAAAGCCAGGACGAAGCTCAGCCAGGTAAGGATACGGTGCCGAGACACGATTTTGCCCATTTGCCGAGGGCCGAGTCCTTCAAACCGAAAGTACAGCCCGCTCCCAGCTGAGCGCTGCGCTCTGGCCAAAAAAAGCTCGCTCTCTCGCTTTACCGCTCAGCTGTGCGTGGGCGTTGTAAACAGCTGATGGCAGCCAGAGCTCTCTCAGCGACCCCTCTCTTGGCCTAATTCGCTGACATTGCTTAGACACTGAGAAAAACGGGCTATATTTACATTTCCCCAATGTAATCGAGATTTTAAAGACAAATTTATTTCCCAAATTTGCTTCAAAGGACATATTTGAAGTTATTTTTTAGTATTTAAGTAAAAATTATAACCATGAACATATATAATAGCTATCTTTAAAGATCCTATTTTTTTTTAGTGTAAAAGCTCGGCAGCCCACACTTACACAGCCAAATGCAATCCGCTATGTGTTATCCTAGCTGACATTGTAAACATGACCAAAATGCATGTTCCCCAAGGTGCCAGAGTATTTGTGTGGGCGAGTGTGCGGGTGTAAAGCCACATTTGACGTGCCAGTGCCACATTCATTTGCATATTTGAGAGCGCTTTCTGGCTTATGCGTGAAGAGAGTGAGACGGTGTGCGATATTGTGCGAAAGGGAGAGGGGACACCGCACGAGCTCAAGTCTCATGTGTAAGGCATAGATAAGTTCAACTTAATTAAAGTTTCAGAGGGGGACAAAACGTTGACTGCTTGGTTTTTCGGGCTTCTTGTTGCATAAATTATGACAATTGGCCATGCGGCTTACAAGATGCACACGAGACCTTGCCTGTTTCGCCTTATCATCATCATCATCGTAATTGCCTCTCGGTTTATTATTTATTTGTAAGTACCCACATAGTTCATACATAAATCCTTTTAAGCTTTTGTGCGTTTATGAATTTTGCATTACGGGCCTCAGGTATTGGTCAAGCACTAAACAAGTTTTCTAATCCCACCTAAATCAAGATTTTATGTTAATTGAAATGGGCTTATTGCGTTGAGATTAGTGTAAGTTAAGGCGAAACGTCAACACAAAACTGCACTTAGATAGACACCTAAATTTCATAAATATTTAAATGTTTGGAAGCTATTTTCGGCGTCAATCTACCAAGGTATTTGAGAAATATATTAACACAGAGTGGGTTTAACGGCGTTTTGAATTCTTTAATATCGATTTCAAATAGTGGTCTCAAAGAAATTGTCATCTTTTTCGCTACTTTTCTCTTTCGAAGCTATGTGACCCAGTATTAGTTGAATATCTTTATCATGATTGAGATTCATCTCGGCATGGCATTTGCGTAATGGGTTCATATCTCTTAGTTTGGTCAAATATTCATTTTCGCGTTGCTTCATTGCACTCAGTAGATGTTGATGAATCAAGGCCTCATGCTCCTGGTCGGCCAATAAGATGATCTTCTGAATTTCTTCTTCAGCAAGTTTCTCGGTGGTAAGTTGACCAGAAAGCCCCGTCTGAGTTTCTTTTACTTCCTCATAGGCAGCCACATCATTCCATGAATAGCCGGCAAACATTTTTGAAATCATTCTTACAAATTGTAAATCAAAAGTGACTTTACTAGCAAGAAATGGCATATAAACAAATTTGTCAAAGCTTGCTTAGTTTTTACATCTTAATACAGCAGGCTCTTTCTCTTGTATTCTCGGTGTAGTTTATCTAGTTCGGATTATTTTTAATCTTATTCTTCCGTTGCCCAGGAGGATGTTCAGGTGATCTCTGATCGAGGGGTTAAGACGATTGCCATTGCGGTTTCTTACGTAGGCAGCAAGTAAACTTAAAGTAGATTTATATTTCTTTGCGGAATGCACGACCATAATTTTGCTCAGCCCAACCTACACTTTTTTGCAAAAATAAATAAAAAACAAGGCCAATAAACAAAAACATCAACAAGTTGCCCAGTTTTTTATCGAATAGCTGAGAAGGGCTACAAAGAACCCAAAGTTGTATTATTGGGGTAGTAAACTTTGAAAATTCAGTTCAAAGTTTGAGAAAGTGTAAAAGTAAGGACTTTTAGAAAGCTATTGTCGTAGGTTGCTGTTCGAGATGTTTAAAGCTAAAAGGAAAAGCTTTTCTAAGTTTATGTACCACACCATTGTGGTGAGTTTCCTTTTTATATTTTATGTTGGGATAGGCTCTGTTCACAAAGCTTTTCTTTAGTCAATGGAACTAGGAAGTAGTTTTATTTAAGTCTTAAAAATTTCTAAGAGAAAAAACATAAAATAATAATAAACGAAAACTAGGGATGGCCTTTCGACCAGCTGCGGACATCAAAATAAGAATCATTTTTAACTTAACTTATCACTTTAGGTTAAAAATTAACCAGTTAGCTTTTTCCTTACTCCCAAGTATGCTAAACGAGGTAAATTGCAAACTAACATTGCTAATTTAGGCAGCTCCAATCTATTTTTACCATGTCAAGGGCATGCATTATAACAGAACTTATTGATTAATTTAACCGGTGTCAGTCCCTCCACCCCCAAAAACAACTTTTGGCTTAAATAAATGATGAACTTTTGCTCAGTAGTGGACGGCGACAAGTTCGTCACGCATTTTAATAGATGAATAATGCAGGGTGCCATTGCGTCCGAGAACCAAAACAAAGTCAGCCCATAGTCCTACATTTACCTTTGCGTTTTTAACATTCATTCAGAGATTTTACAAATGTTGGTTTTTGCCATGCTTGAATATTCCTCAAGGCTTGGGGTGACCACATGTCGCATACTTGATGGCTAACCGAGTTTTTTAATTCCGACCATGACCAAGACTAACACAACTTAGCCATAGAATAGTAACACACATTGAGCGACATAAAGTTGGCGCCAGTCGAAGAAAAGTAGCGACGGGAAAACATAAACCGAAGGAAAAGAAAAGCGAGAAAACGAAGCTGCTTTTTGGTGAAAATACCCAGGGGAAAAATTCTTCTATTTGCTTTTGCATGCAAAGACAACTGATTTTGGTTCGCTGCACCGACTTGTTGCACTCACTTTTACGCTGCTGCCATCGGCGGCTGTTTCCGGCTGATCCTGTGGCAAGTGCAGCTGGGAGACGGCCGGAGTGGGCGTGGCTGAAGGTTGTGGCAATTCTCCGCCGTAATAATCCGCCACACTTGGAACTAACAGAACGCCCACCTTGTTTCGAGCCACCTGCTGGGTGGTGGTGTTTCGTCTATGCCGCGCGGGCAACATCATCCGATGGGCCACAAGAGCCATGATCGCTGACTAATGATCACCTATCACCTATCAGCACTCAAAACACACAACCAGGAATATTCGAATATTTTCCATATATTTCAGGACAACGAAAAAACTTCGCGGAGGGCAAATCAATGCCGCGTTTGCCTTAAGGAAATGCTCGACGCTAACTGAAAGGCACCAAAAAAAAGGAAAACAACCAGCGAACGAAAAACGAAAAGCGAAACTTTCAACGCACCGGAAAGAGGCGAAAGACGAAAGGAAATGGCCGATAGCGCTCCCGCTCACTCTCACACACAGCCAGACACACACACTTATATCCTTATGTCCTTTTTGTATGCCAATGTGTGTGTTTACGTACTAAACGCCGCATGTTTGATGAGCGTTTTGTTGTTGCTCCTTTAAGTTAATATTAATGGCGGAATCACATTGTCTGCGGACTGTGTCTGTGTGACGACTACTTCAGCGTGTGTTTGTGTGGCGACTGCCGTCTGCGTCTGTGTGCGTTAGTTTACCAACACGTGCACGCCACATTTAATAAACGAACAGCCGAAAAACAAGCAGGAAACATGGCGCAAATGTAATATTTGTTGTTAAAATAAAATGACGAAACGGAAAACAAGTTGGAACTTAATAAACTGTCACTGACAAAAACGAATTTTCAATACGCTTTCAACCCAAATAATAATTTAAGATTAGTAAAATAAAAATAAAAAATACTTACTTGTTTGAATATTTCACATTTGCTTACGTTTTTATAAATAAATAAATAAATTAGGCTATTGAGATAAGGACGAACGAAGATAAGTCACTTTGAAAAATGTCAAAACTACCTTAAGTTTGGCATTTACCTACCGATAAGGGTACTAAAAATTTATACTACTCAGCAATACGAATTTCAAAAAGAACTTTCAAAATTAACGACCAACAAGGATCAGAATGTTGAGCAGATTGGGCTACAGTGGGGCCATGGGGGTTCGCTCCTTTGCCAAGGACGTCCGCTTCGGCGTTGAGGCGCGCAGCCTACTTCTGCAAGGTGTAAACGTTCTGGCCAACGCGGTAGCCACCACTCTGGGTCCGAAGGGCAGGAATGTGCTCATCGAACAGCTGCTCATATCACCTCGAATCACCAAGGATGGCATTACGGTGGCTAACAATGTCCAGCTGAAAGATCGACGTCTGGATATGGGAGCCCAATTGCTCCGCCAGGCCACCAACAATACGAACAACAAGGTCGGCGATGGAACCACGACGGCCACGATCCTAGCTCGTGGAATGGCTTGCCAGGGAATGCATTTCCTTCGCCAGGAAAAAGTAAACGTTCAACTCCTCCGGGAGGGAATTCTCGAGGGATCGCGGGCAGTCGGTAAAGCTCTCGGTGAGATGTCTCAGTCGGTGGATACGATAGGTCAAGTAGAAGCCGTTGCAAGGATCGCCCTGAATGGAGACGAACGGCTGGCGGAACTTATTGGAGATGCAATCCTGGAGCTGGGCGAGAACGGTGTAATTTTGTTAAAGGAGTCCCACGGCCCCAATGACACGGTGAAGATCCAAGAGGGCGTTACCCTACCCTCGGGTTACTGTTCGCCATTTTTTGCCACGAAAGTTGATGCCAACACTATGGAACTGGGCAACTGCTTGCTGCTACTGACTTTGGCCAAAATTGATCAAGTTGAAGATATCCTTCCCGCACTGGAGCTAGCCAGGCTAAAAGAGCAACCTCTTCTGATCATTGCCAGCGATTTTTCCAGTGACTTGCTAAAGATTTTGGTATTAAATCATCTGCAAGGAAGAGTTCAGGTTTGTGCTGTAAAGGCTCCAAACTTTGGCGAAGAGCAGCGGCACGAAATGCAGGACCTGGCTTTGGCCATGGGTGCTCATTTGCTGGAGGAAACCTCCTGGTTAGCGGATCTTAGCGAGAAAGGATCTGGGCGAGGTTGAAACGGCGGTGGTGGACGCTAATGAAACACATCTTTTAAAACCGATTAAGGTCAGCGAGGATCAAATGCAATGTCGTATTCAGCACATCCGTGAGCTGATCGATGAGGCTATAACCGACGAAGAACTATGCCGCCTGAATACACGCCTGGGTCGACTACAGGGCCATCTGGCCACCATCTATGTTGGCGGATCCAGTGATCTTGAGGTGAGCGAGCGAAAGGATAGATTAAATGACGCCCTCCACGCAGTACGAGTGGCTATCAGCGATGGCATCGTTCCTGGTGGCGGTACTGCCTATCTGAGGTGTATTCCAGCTTTGGATATGCTGCCTCCAGCGAAGGTGATGGAACACCAAGTGGGCAGAGAAATTGTGAAGGATGCCCTTCGGCTTCCCTGCTATACAATCGCCCGCAACGCTGGAGTGAATCCCGATGAGGTCCTTCGACGAGTTCTCGCAGGCAGTGGGAACTATGGATTCGATGCCGTCACCGGAGAGTTTGGAAATCTTGTAGATCGCGGAGTTGTGGATCCTACGAGTGTCATGCAAACCGCCATGACGGATGCAGCCGGGATCGCCTCTCTGTTGGCTACCACCGAAGTGCTCATCACCAAGCAGCCAATTAAGCCAAAGATTCCCAATAACCAAGTCACTAGAGATCTGGCTAAACTTGTGGGTATGTAGTTGAGTCAGTTGTTTTTCTAAATTATTTGTAAGATTTTATTTCCCGAAAAGTTGGCAATAAAAAGATAATGTCTTTGAATTAGATTTTGATAAAAATTAACTTTTTATTAATTGTATAAAATAAATAAAATAATAATCATACAGTAAAAAGGAAAAAAGTAAAGGAAGTATTTTTCGCAGGTTACTTTACGAGTAACAGTGTATTTGTGGTTCCCCTCATTTATGACTTGTCTTCTTGTCGAATTCGTAATTTGAACATATAGGAGCACGCACGCCACATTCAATAGACCTCGGCTCCGACTCATATCCCACCCACAAACACTCAGTCATAACTTGACGTCCTTCGGCTCATATTCACTCGCTCGACACACGCCTAACTTGACTTGACCTTAACCATTTGCTGCGTTTTGTTTGGCCGCCAATGGACAACAAATAAAATAATAGTGGTTGGGGGATTTTTGGGGGAAAATGTCAGCAGCCGCATTCCTATTTATCATGATATACATGGGCGTTACATACAAGTTCTATGTGTCATTTAGGTAAGCATATAGCGATGTCATTAATGGTGATTAGGCACACTTAAGTCCAGGAACTCGCATCACGTATACGCCACGATGGACTGTCCAAGTGAAACATCTGTTTAATAAGGAGGTTGACCTTCCCATACAGGCCGAGCATGCATAATTAAACAGCATGGGATAATTTCGGGTCAGTGCCATCAAGGGTCGTTGTTCACATTCGCTGGACACAAAATTGCATTCTTAATAATGCAAAAACAGGGCTTTCTTAGGGGTACAATCAATACATTTTGTTGTTAAAGAATTAAAGAACTTTTATCGAGGTGCCTGAGAACTTTGCAATACTAAAGATGTTTTGGTACAAGAGGTATAAAGATTACGAACTAGACTTACCTTGAGACGAAGATACAGATACGGATACAGCTAAGCATATACAAATAGATAGATGGGCGGTACGATAACGGTGCCTGGGCAGACGCCGGGTCTAACGGTTCTTGAGAAAGCGCAGCATTTTTTGCGCCGCCCGATACTGTGCCTATGCCTGTGTGCAAAATGATATGGGATCGTGCTGGCGATGGCTGTGAAAGAGATATAGAAAATAATACTTATCCGGATTAGCGATTGTGATTCCTCAAGCCCTAACTAACGTATGCTCCACTTCCATTGTTGTTGCCCCAGTTAGACTCTGGGGTTTATTTTTCGTAAATACAAAATCCAATGGCAAAACAAGCCTGACAAGTTGTCGTCTCTTGTTTTAGCAACGCCACCCTCGCCAAAAGGAAGGAAGGAAGCTAAAAGGACAACCGCAGCGCTGCCATGTCTGGCCATACAACGGGGATATTCCCAATACTACGTAAACACGCCCAAAAGTACACACACACACGCACACCCATCCGAGGTCCTCAACGGTGCCGAGCGTTTTTCCGTTTATTTTGCTTTGTTTTTGTCCTGTTGTCTGACAACTTCCGACTTTTGCGGTGGCGGCTCATAAATCAAAATGACCCAAAACGCACACCAAAACAGAATAGCCAACAAAAAGATCATCAAATTTAGCAATGGAGATTTAAGCCGCAATTTTGTTTAAGTCGTTTAAGAACTACCTAATTATAGTTATTTTGAAACCAATTTAAAGAGGAGAATATTTGGAAGTCCAAAAAAAAAGTGTAAAATAATGTTTAAGATAGTGTTCACAACTACATTATATTTATTACAATTCCCAAAAATTACTTTAATTAAAAGTATTTCTAACAAGCTTTCGTTATCCTTTTAAAGCCAATTTCGTATTAGATACATAAATTTTAAAGTCAACACAACACGTTGAAAAGTAACGGCTAAGTTCCAATTGGAATTTAAAATTGGAAACCTTAGCAATGTTATGCACCGTTTATAGCGGAGTTTCGCGCCAGCTGAATTTATGTGTTTGCGGTATTTTAAAAAATACTAAAACCTAGATATTTTTATGCCACTTGCGGTCACACTTACAGTGTTGCAAAACGTGGGCAAACCAAAGGTTATTTTCAGTTTGGAGATGTTTATATTTTTTTGATAAGGTTAAATGGCAAACCTCAGCCCACTGGTCTTCTGGTCGCAGACCAAGCAAACATTATTACTGAAAGTCGACCTAAAAGATGCCAAGGTATGTGGGTTTGAATACCAAAAAGTATATCTACATATGTGAAAAATCAATAATGTTAACTTACAAATTTTCTTTAAGGGCGCTATCGCGGACTTTTCGCCGGTTACAGTGAATTTCAGTGCCAATGGTTATGGAGCTCGCGGGCTGAATGCCTACAAGTTCGAGCTACACTTTTATTCCCTAATCGACGACGAGAATGCTACCTTTGTGGTTACCGATAACAAGATCGAATTGCAGATTCGGAAACTGGAGCCAGAGTGGTGGCCCCGTCTAGTGGCCACTCCTCAAAAGCCACACTGGCTGAAGATTGACTTCGATCGATGGCGCACCGAAGACGATGTTGAAGTTGAGGAAGCACCCCGCGATGTGCGACAGGACTACGAGAAGGAGTACGCCGAGCTCCAAAAGCGCGAGCTGGGTTACATTAAGGGTAATCATATATAGATGATTTCTTAAGGAAATATTAATGTTAACTCCCTTTCATTTTAGAAAAAACCAAGAAGGTGTACATGATACTGTACAACCTAGCCATGTTTGTGGGTTATCTTTATATTATGGTTGTAATGGGTGTACTCTACTACCGCGATGGCCACGACAGCATTGGAAAAACCTACGCCAATGTGGGCAATGCTTTCAAATTCATTCAGCTGCTGCAATATCTGGAGGTTATGCATCCCATATTTGGCTACACCAAGGGAGGTGCAATGGTACCCTTTTTCAGGTATCTGGGCGCAACTTCATCCTGTTCCTTATGATCGACATGGAGCCACGCATGCACACCAAGCCAGTAGTGTTCTACGTTTTCGTAATTTGGTCTCTGGTTGAGTTAGTGCGGTAAGTGCCAAACCTCTTTATCGAAATATGAATGAATATCTTATCAAACGATCTTTACCCTACTAGATATCCATTCTACCTGGCACAATTGCTTGGCCGTGAAGTAGGTCTACTTACTTGGCTACGGTATACTATTTGGATACCGCTCTATCCCTTGGGCATCATGTGCGAGGGCATCATCGTACTACGCAATATTCCCTACATCGATGAGACGAAACGGTTTACCGTGGAAATGCCCAACCCCTGGAACATAACCTTCGATATGGTTCTATTCTTGAAATTATACCTCATGTTGCTAATACTGCCGGGCAGCTACATGGTTATGTCGCACATGGCCAAGCTGAGGTCCAAAAAACTTGGCAAGGGACGCGCCAAGCGCCTGCAACATCTCCACGCAGACTAATCAACTCACTGCCACGAGAAAGGTTCGTTCGACTCATGGCAGTTCGATTTCCTATTTTCGTTTAGCATAAGAAAAAAGTCCAAAGAAATATCTACATTAACCGTACTCTAAAAAATTGACGTTCATTAAAATTTTCTATCATATTGCAATCGTAAATTGTTTATATTTCATCGCAGTGGCTTTATTTAGTAATACCATCCTCCCGCATTTGTTAATATATATAGAGAAAATTGTTTTGGGAATATAAAGTTAAAGATTTCAGATTCGGAATGGTTAATAGTTTCATATTCTAAGCACACATTTGATTCTTTTAAATACTATGATTAATGCGTAGTTAGGCTGAGTAACTACCCCAGTAACCATATCAAGCCAACCGTTTTCACTATAATCGTAGCAATATTCACAATATAGATAAATATGTTGTTGTAGTAGACCGCTCGAAAAATAATAGATTGCTTTTCATATCTTTTTTTGAACTTCTGCATTTGTTTTTGTTGGTCCTTATTAGAATAAAGTGTACTTTATCAGAGTTGGTGAAGTTACATAGCCGCTAAGCAGACAGTTAAGGGGAATTTATGTGTTCTCAAACAAATGCAAACATACCAAAAGACCCCGCGCACTGAGCTTTAACATGCTGTCAGGCATTGGCTCTTGTCCCTCTTTTGCCGTTTGACGGGTAATCCAATTTGCACTCGAGGACGATGCACAAGTACCTGCCGATCCACTTGACCCGGAACTGGCTTTGAATTCCGACTCAAGCTCACTGACAGCTCCCAACTTTGTCATATTTTTTTTCTGGAGAGGACCTCACATGCGGAGCTTTTATTATTTATGAAGAATATAGCGTGGTTCTCCTGTTAATTACATCCGGATTCTCATTGTGTTCCGAACATCAATTGAAAGTGGGTGAATATAGTATATGTGGTGTGATTGGGGAAGGGGGGCCGGCACCTTCTTCACTTGAGTGGGACAAAGTGGAACACTAATGGATTTGACGATAGTGGAGTCGGCAGTTGTCACCTGCTGGGCGATATTAATGGCTCCAGCCCGGTCCGCCAATTCGTCCAACAAGCCAGCGAAATTTATCCCCATCAAGTCCCTCTTCGCGTGAAATATTCATTGCAATTTGCACTCTCGCTCGGCCCGACTGCACTTTTTTCGGGATTCTTTTTCTTTGAAGAGCCTTGTACGGAACTGAACCGAACCGGGGTTAACGCTCAACTAATCACCGACCGTGGCCAGCCGGCAGCTAATAAAGCTCCGAGAGAAAGGCCTGCACACTTGCTGATAAATGGGTTTTTGATTAATGCCGAGCGCGATTGATTTTCGGCCACTGAGCAGCGGAGCCAGTGGTTTAGCGGCCCATTCGGAGGCAGAAAAATGTGCGGATTTATGCCATCTGACAGCAGTCCACGGACGAAGATGAGGAAGTGCAGGCATCAGCAGTTGCCTGCATTCATGATTTACTGCCTTCTGTACTTTTTCTCTGGATCCCAGTGGCTCCCATCCCCTATTTTAGAGCTGCCCCCTTCGAGTTGGTAATTTATCAACCGCGCCTCTGGCAAAACAGCCCACTGGGGAAGGTCAGCAACTAAGCCACGCGCCCGAAACCAAAAATATGAACAATTGGTCTAGCGTAAATTGCACGCAATCAAAGATAAGTGCGCTGGTTGCCAGGCAATGGGGAAAATCCAATACCCATTCAGGCAGCAGGAAAGCAAACAAAAGGGATTCGATAAAGTCAATTAAATAACTAATAAAATTAAATACCTTATAAAGTTTTAAATCAAATCGTATAATAATATTTCTAGGCCTGCGTAAATTGGCTTGGTTTAGACAAATTTGATTTATGTTAAATCAAATACAGAAATGCAATCTTAAATTTATCCGCACTGCTTGTCTTGCAGGCTTTCTACGAGTATATACATATACATATATAGATGCCATGGAAATAGTGTGATATCCTGCCAATACGATTATATGTGCATCAGCTTGGAGGACAGAGAAAACCGAAGAAAAGGAAACCGCACCCCGACCAACTCTGCACTTGTTAATGACCTCTTTGTGTCGGACATCGAAATGCATTTCCTGAGCGGGCCACATAGCACGAAAGTATGCAATAAAACTTCCACTAATTGCAGGACACAACCGCAACGAGGTTGCTGCCACACACCACACACTGGATAGTGTCGAAAGTTGTTCGAATTTTATTGCATTTCAAAAAGCGCAAAGGAAAGTTCGTTTATTGAATATCTGGTTTAAAGAACATGCAGCTTTATAAATACATTTAGAGCCTCATCAAATTCCTTTTATATCCAGATTTCATTCAGTGGAAAGGGAGTAAAATAAGTAAATTTTAAATGTTGACTATTTTTTATCTAAATATTCTTATTATAAACTCAATCACCCTAAAGAAATATAGTATGTTTCATCGGTTTTCAAGCTCTTTAATGTATTCTGAAAGTGGCGAGAAAGCCGGCAATGAAGAGCAATAAAATCAAATGTAATAAAAGCTGTATATTATGAATGTGGCCAAGTATCAGCAAACACTATACAGAATATATTCGCAGAATGCACTTGCAATGATTTGTGTGCTCAAATGGCTGGAGACATCGTCAATGGAGCCACTGAAAGCTGACTCAGAGCCAGCAACAATTTAGCATTTTGCATCCGCTTTCGATTCGAATTGCTAGTGGCGCCAGGCCAGAAATCCATTGATGGCATCCACACACCCTTTAACACAAACATACACAGGCACAGTCCAAACCCCTTGTGAGCCACACATCCTTACTTTATGGCTACTAAGCAGTTCAACGCCAGGGAATATCCTCGTTTGAATTTTGTTGGCCAGTAAGGAAAGGAGGCGAAGAAACTATTGGTCCTTAGATCACGTAGCTAAAAGTCTTTGGAAGTAGGAGCATCAGGAACTTTCAGAGGCTACAAGCCGGTTTTTATTATAGTTTCCTTCGCAAAAGTTATGATAAATGAAAAGTAGTGGCAAACAGATGTTTGTGATAACTACTCACACCCAGACTTTACTACTCGGACTTCAACTACGAGTTTATGAAAAATGAGCACAGATGATTATTCGATGGCAGCTGCAAAGTGTTGGGGCAGCTATCAAATGTCATTACTTTCCAACTTATAAAGGGGCACAAAAGCAAAGCGGAATATAATTCAACACTGCCTTAAAGTTTTCACAATGGAAATCAAACTGGATACCGCACACAAAACGAATTACATTCTTAGAATGGCTAGTAGATTGAATTTCCACCATTCAATTGAATGCAATAAAGTAATTTATCCAAGTCCTTAGTTATTGAAAAGTATTGGCCTTTGAAGAATACAGATTTTGTAAGGTTTCCTATCGTTCCTTAGAATAAGAGTAATGAACTGTAATTTTTATAAGACTGCTTAAAAAATATATTTAGTTTTTGAAATAAGTCGACTAACCGGTTTAAATAAGTGTTCTTAACTGGCCTTGTTTCTATACCCTTTGCCTTATGACCCTTACTATTTCAGGCGCCTCGCCCGCAAAGTGTTGGCCAGCGGGCAGGCAATGAATCTTCAAAGACGCTCCGCAGAAGACCCCAGGCCAATCCAAACCACCACCCACTTTGAGGTTGGTATTGGGGGCGATGGGTGGACAAAAGGCCACGCAATCGTGTGGCGAAAAAAGGGCTGACAGTGTAAAGAGAGCAACTTGGCCAAATGCTTTTCTCTGCCTTTTTTTTTTTATTACATATATTTTCACTTATTTCTGGCCGAAAATTGGCTTGGACCACCACTTTGGGCGGATACTTGGATACTTGGGGTACGGATTCCACTCCGCTCGACTCAACTGAACAATGAAGGCCATCGCAATTACTGAAGTGGATAATTAGAGTTTGAAGTGATGGCCATAAAGAGGCGATGAGGGCTGCTTTAAGCATGCGACTGAATAAATATTTAAACAAGTTTATTGAACGGAAAGCCCTCGTTGTCCATTCAAATTGAAAATATTATTGCCATATTCATATGTTTATACTTATGATGTTTGCCAACAACATCAAGGCGGAATAACAACTTCCAGCGTTGGCAAAATGAATTTTTAGTCATGCGAAAGAGCAGCAATTAATATTCACTTACTCACACACCCGCTGTTTAAAAACATTTAAAGCCTAAATGGCACTTTGCCTCGCTCAGCCAAACAGCAGGAAATGGTATAACTAAAGAATGTTTTCCAAATTTAAAATTTAATTAAAATCTTATGCGAGAAACGACACAGTCCAGGCACAATACGTTGAGGGAAACAAAGGGAATACTCCCTCCCAAGGACCAACTCATCAAAAGAAGACTAAGCCAGCTGGGATATTTGGGCGAGGGCTCAAACAGTGTCCACTTTGTTAGTCCCTCTGGTAAATTAAAAATTTAAAGGAATGAAAAGCTTTTTAAAAGTGATTAATTTGATATTCTTTACTCTCATTTTCTGTAGTCTTATAAATTGTTTTTAACATGTATAATATCTAAGGCTTGTTGTTATATTTTCTTATTACTGACACTTTTATAAAACTTAATTAATTTTCATCGGAATTCCTTATTTAATTAGTATGTATATTTATTTCATTTTTTTGTCATTGATATAACAGAAATTAATTTGTGTTCCCCATAATAGATGTCATAAAATCATTCGTATCAACTTTTATCAGTTATCGACACTTTAATTAAGGTAATTGATTAATGGCAATAACGCGCTTTTATCTTCGATGAAATGTTGCAAATATTAATGCAAATGGCTGTATTAATTACCGGCTGTGTTTTACAATAAACTAAAGTTAAGAGCTATCGACAAATAGAATATCGAATTTGTGCAAAACAAAACAAACGATATGCAACTTGTTGACATTAACTACCTATTTATTAGATAGATAATTAGATTGAATACTTTTGGCAGAAAATAAAACTTACTTTTTTCATTTACAAATTTGTTGCCTTTTAACGAATATTTGAATATTTGTAAATATAACCAGTAAAAATGATGATCTTAACCTACTTATATTCTATGCTAAAATAGATAATATATTATATTGCTTATAAATGTATAAATACTTTTTTAAATAACAAAGATACATTTAGATAAAGACCTTTTGGGCTCTCTAATTGGAACTCCAGGGGAACCCCACGAGAAGAAGTGACTTGACTGAGTATATTACCAAATACCTATAGAAATAAACAACTGTCAGATAAGAGGACCTGCGTGCTTCTTTTGTCCTTTTAGAACCCTCCGATTGTGTGGCATCGCATAGCACAACTTGCTCCAGAACAGCGGATCACCCCACTTGAGGTAGGTGTTCAGCTTGAGGTAAGCCCGCAATTCGCTGTCGATACCGTTCATGTGCTCCAGTTCCCGGTAGAGAATAATGATGATTCTCTTTCGCTTGTCCTGCAATGTTGCCTGGTAGGCTATTCGGAACTCCATTCTGGCCCAAACCGAATCGATGAAATGCTGAGACAATACTATTATCACCCTTTTTGAGTCATCCACAGTACGGACGATCTGCTCGGGAATGCAGTCACCCACCAACCAATCGCGATCATGTAAACATATCCGGAATGGATGCGGACCGCCCTCTAGTTTGGGCAAAAGCTTACTGATCAGCTCCTCATCCTTGTGCGAGTAAGAAATGAAGGCATCGTACGTCTTGTCCTTATCCAACTCCTCTTCGGAAACCCACCACAGGCACAGGTTATTGTTGTATAACCAAATCTTTACCTCCTGCTGGAACATCAGATAGAATACGGTGATCAGGCATATGACTATCACCAGGCCACCGATCACACAACTAATGAGCAGGACATACGAGGGACACAGCTCGAAGGCTTCCATCTGCTGAAGGAACTTTTTCTGCTTGGTGCAAATAACATCCCCGATATCTTCTACTCGCTGAGGATTGGTGCGTACGAAGAACAGGAGCGATAGGGCATCACAATCGCAGGATATCGGGATTTCCCGAGAGTGATAGAGTCATCGTGTTATTCGCTTGCTGCAGGAACTCAACAAACTCTTCGCTGATCGATGTGATCTGATTGCTTCTCACATCCAGATGGGTCAGATTCTCGGGCAGCTGGTCACCTGATCCCAGAGTGGTTAGGTTGTTATCAGACAGAAGGAGCCCGCTAACATTGGCATAGCCTCTGTGTTCGCTAACCATGGGAAGTGCTGTGAGGCTATTGTTTCCCACCTTGAGAATGGTCTTCACGAGTGTGGTGTGGGGTAAGTCAGGCAGCTCTTCTAGTTGGCTTCCACGGCAATCCACAATGAGACTGTCAATTCCTCTCTGCACCCAGCAAATGCAGCGAGGATCGCATTGCCAATCTGCCGACTTGTATTGACAGGTCTCGTCATTAGTGCACACCACCGCCTCATAATTCATAAGGAGCGTGGCCCCATAAAACTGGGTGTGCACCATCTCAATGTTGTTCAGACTGATAACATTTTGGAACACCCCTGGCGACATCGCAGTCAGGGAGTTTTTATTCAATCGTAGAACCGTCAGAGAGGTCAGCGGGGCGAAAATGGCGCTGCAGGTTGGAGGAGATCTCAGAAGGGTTAGTTTGAAATTAATTAAGGAATATTTCGAACCAAGGGAGGGTATCGAGATCTAGCACCTTCGGATTAGTTTTCTAATGCTGTACATTTACATTGATTATACAGAAATTTTCTTGTTTCTAAGTTTCTATTCCTGTAATATCTACAGAAAATTAAAGAACAGTTAAATGACTAATGAGATTTTAATAATTATTATACATTTCATAGAAAAATAAGTCTAGAAAAAGGCTTTTTAAGCTCTTCAAAAAAGTTAAACATTTTTTCTTATAAAGATAAGAAACAGTACTAAATAAAATATTGCTATAAATTATAAATTAATCAAAAGTGTTCTTTTTGTATTACTTTGATAAGGGTTTTGTACTTAATATATACAATCTAACCACAAAAAAAATATCTAATTAATTTTTTTTGATCACATCTTATCAGAAGGCAATGAGACTGCAAATACATGATGAATACCTTTTGAAAAAAAAATATGAGTCTTTAATAATTTAATGAAGTTCTGGGAAGATATGAAATATAAATATAGAGACAACAATTTTCCTGAAAGTCATTATGATTTGTACTATTTTCATAAGAGTTATGCAAATATCTGTCCGTAGAATATTTCTGTATTAGATAAGAATCAAGTCATTAATAATGTTTGGCATACTTTTCGGTGCCGAAATGCTTACAATAATAATTTAGCAATTAATATCTGACTGATTGGACCCGATAACCCCACTTGGCTGTCAGGAGAGACACAAAACGCTCGTTGAGCTATCGCCCGTGCCAGAACTGATAACGAAAAGCAGCAGCCGCAACCACAGCGATAAGGTGGAGAAGACTCCATTCAATGGAAATCGATTAATTACTTTGGGTAGAAGTTCTCGAGTCCCCGGACCCTATCGCTAGGTGGGCCATCTATTAATCAGCGAAGGCAAGTGGCGAAAACAACAACGGAACCCCCGTTCACCCACCTTGATAAATCAGTCAATCTATTTTTGGATAGATCCAGAAGTGTTAGATTTCCCAGGCCTTTGAAGACATTGTTATCCAGAGTGGAGATCGCGTTGCAGGACAGATCTAGAACCTTAAGATTTCCCTGATCCAAGAATATTTCCGCGGGTAGCCCAGTCAGATCATCGTTTCCATTCATTTTGATCAACTGTAACTTGTTAGTGCCCTTGAACATTCCCCGATTTACACTACTCGTGGCGGATGCCAACCGCACCTCGATCAGGTTATTCATGGCTCCAAAAAAGTGCGGCTGCAGCTGCTTATCGCGAACGCGAAATGGATCCGTTAGGACAAGGCTCAAGTTCCGCAGTTGCTGCAGTTCACTAAGCAAGGAGTTTCCGAAAGACACTATACCCGGACTTTCGATGGTCAGCGTTTTTAGGGTTCCATTGACCGTGGAAAGCATATTGCCTGGCAGAGTCGTCACATTCACATTGAGCAAAAGATCGTTAAGACTGTCGAATCCATAGAATATCGATTCTTGCAACTCCGCCACATTGCTATAAAACTTGAACTTCTGCAGTCCAGGCACAGCACCAAAGTGCCAAGATGTAATGTTTCCGGGAACAGATGATTCCATATATCCATCGGAGGTGTTGAGTACATCCCTTGTGGCTACCGTCTCCGCGGTGCGATCCCGGAATATGATTTTCGAAACATTTTGAACACCAATGGTCTCTAGTAAATCACCGAGAAATGTTTCCGGCCAGAAGCAATAGGCGTCGAACTCGATCTTCACCAAATAACTGATATTGAATCGCGGCAGCCAGGTTAACTTAGCTGATGCGTAGTAGCTCATGTACAGCGATGCTCCCGGTTCGGAGACCTCCAAAAGCATGGCATACTCATCCGGACAGTGGAACCGAACCACATTCGCCTCGGCGGCACAATTGCACTGCGGACTATGGTCAACACAAAAAGTGGGCAGTGGTATGATCTGGCCCAGGGCACCGAGGTGCTGTGATAGGGCAAAAAAAAGCCACACTACCAGCAAATAGCTCAACATGTCGCGGACACTTCACTTGGCCCGTTTTATGGCATTTATTATTTAAGATTATTTTGGCTTGGCTTCTGCAAAGAACAAAAATTGCGGCGCGGATATGTGAACACGGCAAAGCTCCGGCTATGACTAAATCACAGCTGTTTGGAGTCCCTGCCAGCCAACTACGTTATCAGGCCAATTTGCTAGGCCCGCAGACGGTTTTCGTTTTTTTGTGGTTTCTTATCACAGTCACTATCGGAGCTGAGAGCCCCGTTGACATGGGAGCCATGTGAGGCGCCTTTATCAAATTAGAGATGGCAAGAGGCAATCTCTTAACGATTTTCACCCTCGATGATATCTTAATGATGGGTCGCAAAGTTCAAGGATAATTGTGAAATAGATTGGTCGAAAATAAAATTAACAAATTTGCGAATATACTTCTTTCAAAAAAATTCAGTAAAACTATTTCATTTACTTAAAAAGTGCGATATGTTATATTTTAATGCCACAAAATTCCTTCTCTATTGATCCATTTATTATCATAGATTTATGGCACCTATAAAGAACGTGATTTTCGCAACATGAATCATTTAAATACAACTAATTCGACATTCATCTTGATTTCCAAGACATTTTACTTCAACGATAACGATTTTTAATACCGCAGCTTTTGGCTATCTTGCGGAATTTATTTATGCCCAAATGTCATAATGTTAATGGTACGCTCATGTCTGAGTTTCGCAGTCCGTCGATAAGAAGTGTTTATATATTTTTTTGTTTTTCTTACTGACAACATTGAGCGGTAACTTTCAAGTGTTTGCACGTTCGTAAAAACACACATTATGAGTCAACGGACACGAAATAATTTGGGAGTCACACAACAGTTCTTCTATCTTAGTGGCATAGTTTTAGGATATTTTTAATTTAACACGAATACTTTTTGTAAGGTATTCCCGCGGTGTATAGCCAATAAGATCTGATTAACAACATATTAAAAAAGTAATCTCTCCTTTAATCAGTGGCATTATCGTTTTATATGGTTTCCACTCAAAAACGTTAAATAAATTCATGTACAGTCATAGTGGTGGATGGTTTTAAACCAAAGAATAAATAACTTATGGGAATTAAACTGTTTTTCATCCATTAAAAAAGGGGCCCGCCATGAATATTCGATGAGCGGAGCCAATATTTCGCCCTAAGCCGCGCCTTGAACTGTCACGCATGGAACATATCCTGACACATCCTGACAGGTGTGTGGCATGCCACGCTGGAGCTTATCGAGCCTCGACATCTGGGTGAACCAGAAGAGAGTGGGCTAGACACTCTAAAAATAAATAAGGGCCGTGCTGGGCCAAGTCAATCACTTAAATGGCTGCGCCGATGGATGGCCTTGAACGCGCCAAGGACAGCCAGTCATTATGGACTTTTGGCACATTGTCGAGTTGCCAAACTTGCTGCGCTCAAGTTGAGCCGTCTTCATTATAAGTTTCTCATAATTCATTTCGCGTTGGCGGCCAGAAACTCAATTAACAGTTTTTCGCTCCCTACAGGGACATTTGGGGGCCAAAGTTTTGAGCGACATTTTAATTGGGTGAACTCGGCCTGCTCATGCAGTGCAGCATCGTTATAGGACACACACATCAAAAGTGACCTTTTCGGGCCTGGCTAAATGTGAAAAGGCAAACACAATTACACGCCCAATTACACAAACGATGGCAAAAGGGTTCCCTCGGTAGTGGCATACGTATTACGCATACGCACTGTGGCTCGCAAAACGCATAGGCAGCGTGGCTCACCTTTTTGTGTGACCGACCCTAACGTTCTTTGGCTAGTAATGGAAAACACAGTTTTCCGGTGGAAACGTTAAATTTTCAGCTCTTTAAAGTTGGATTTAATAAAAATGAAGTCAAAGTTAAAAAACATACATAATTATACAATACTACTCTTTTAATATAAATATGGTATTAATTTTAAATAAATTATGCAAATTAAACCAATTTCGTGAATTAATACTGTTTGTAGGAACAAATAGATTATGTTTTCAAATGTTTGATCAAAATAGCATTATTACATTCAACACAAACCAAATTGCCTTCTAATTTCCCTCTAACGAATGGCAAAGTGATCAAATGAAATCCGATTATCTCTCTCCAAACACTCTTCTCCCATGGCCGAAATGCGGGCTATCTATGCATGTGCATCTGTCCATCTGGCCTCCGTTGGAACACCAATCTGGCTGGGTGGTAAATGCCAGTGGGGAACAAAGGACGCTTGACTTTTTGGTTCCTGAAACTACAGGCCGGACTTGTTTTGCAAATGGTAATGAGACGACGTGCTAAGCAATCTCATCAATCAGAGCTGGAAGCTTGGCAGCTTTTAAAGGGTCACATCTCATAAATGTCAACACCAAATTAACGTCATACCCACAAACGGGTCCAGTTGGTTAAATTTATGTTTTTGAGAATGGCAGAAGTAGGATTCAAAATCTTCTGTCAAATGTTAGCCATGGCCAGTGTGTTGTGTTGGCTGCCAACATACAGCTCAGATTGGCCCAAAACCTATTTGACATTTGGCAAATTGCATGCCAAAAAGGAAATGCATTTTGAGTAGCGCATTGCAAATTAAATCAAAATACACACAGAACCATGACAACAGCTGAGCTCTATCTGGATAAATAAGCGAACAGCAGCAGCATAAACATCCAAAATGTGCTTCCCTTGCAGTTCTCCAACCGCAAATACATTTTCCTCTTCCATTCCGCAGATGAGTGGCTTTTGTATGTCGGTAACTCTGTGTGCTAGTGTGTACTTGAAAAATCAAATCAAATCCCATCCGCAAATGTAAAAAAATCTTAGAAATGGAACAGAATAAGAATGTTGAACAAGATCAACTATTAGCAACAAATCAATACAGTTTTGGGTTTTGCTGTAAGGCATCCTTAGATTCAGTCTTTTCTCCTCACCGAAATGTGCAACGTTGCGTATACGCATTATTTGTGGGTGTGAGTGGCAGAGCAGCAAACAACTGGGAAAATACAATTTGTTTTGTTACTAGCAACTTAGTGCAAAGCACAACAAAGCTTGCACTTAAGTCTAGAACGTCGGGGTGGTAATAGAAAATGCAAAAAGGGAATCGAGTGAAAAGTGAAAATCAGTTCTCTCGATGCTGAGGCGAAAATTTGCCAAGCTTAGCAGATTTTCTGTGTTACTATAATGTTTCTATTCTAAATTGGCATTGTTGTCGCTTGAAAAATTAAACATTTAGCAGATTCAATTCTTAAATTAAATGAATAACCACAAAAATCAATTAGCTTTGATAAGCAAAAAATAAACATATAGTACCTATACTATCTCCAATTTATCATTTTTATAAACATAAATAATGTTTACTTTTCATATTAAAACCATCTCTTGTTTTTAAGATCACCCTGACAAACAGATCATTTCTCATTGTGTCTTAGGGCTGCGCATTATGTATACGCCACGTCTGCCACAGCTGCATTCACATTCCCTGCATGCGCGAGTCATGGCTTTCTGCAAGCATCTTCCTGCCATCCGCATCTACATCTACATCCCCACCAGATACTGCTTGCGCCACATTAAATGGCAAAATTGTCAAAATGCCGCAACAAATGGTGACCGTGGCACGTCCGGTTTTTGTTTTTGTTTTAGTTTTTTTTTTCTTAGTTTTTCCCAACATTTTCTTTATAATCATTTTTGGTGAGGCCGTCCCCTTTGTGGTAGGTGTTGCTCCAACTAACTGGTTGGAAAACGCCAAAGGCGGGAATGCATCCATGTGTGTGTTGGCCCGTTGGCGATTGTCGTTCCAGTTTGTTGGCTGCTGCTCCATTGTTGTGTGCAACAGCAGAAAACGTCGTCAACATTATTGTCAGCCGTATATGTGGTCTTTTGTCTTAGTCTTTCTCAGCATCTTCTTTTGGTCTCTTTTTCTGTTTCTTTGGCAGGATTGCATTTTGTAATTTGTTCGCTACATTAAACGCTTCTGTGGCATTTTGGCAAATGCGGCAATAATCTTGCAAAACGTTCTTCGTTTGAGTTTCGTTTGAGGTATACCTCTTAACAAATAGCCTTATAAAGATTTAAAATCAAACTAAAATAGAAGAAAGACCCTAGAGAGAAAGACGAAATTCACAGGGGAAAAGTGAAAGCTTTTTGGTAGCAAATTAAACAACGAAAATGTTCGAGGTATCGAAACTTTCTGTAAGTTTCCAAAGAAATTAAGCAGATGCAGAGGCACACCATCTCCGTATAACCCCCTTATATCCCCTGCCATGTTGCATGTCAGCTTTCTCTTTTTATTTTTGGATCCAGATGCAGGCCATGCGACATCGTAAGTGTTCGAATGCATCGGGGCATGAAGCAACTACGCCAAAATACTGAAAAATCCAACTGCAACAGAGGCAGCAGCAACAAATTCGACAGAAAACTGGGCGAAGGAAGAGGTGTAAAAAATTAAAAGGAAATTATTCAAAGAAACCGACTATTAGATACCTAGCATTTTTTTTAAGAATATATAATAGTAATCAAAATACTTTTAAAGGTTCAGATCGAGTACTAAAAATATTTCAATTTTTAAAGTTGATCTAATAATATGAGTAATATGTTTTTAAAAGACATTGCAACCTCTTCACATTGGAACCTTAAAAAACCATTAGAGCACCTATGTACCTATTTGTGTAGACTAGAAATTTGTTTTATTCTCTCATTTATAAACCCAATATACCCTTGCCCCTTCGAGTAGCAGGTATAAAAATAGCAAAAAAGTACAAAATGCCAGGGCAACAAAGTTGCAAGTTGAGTTCAGCAAACAGCGCACAGCGGCAGCTCTACATTTTTTTATTCGCTATATATATACACATATACATTTTACATACACATTTGTATCTTTGTATCTATGTGAATGGCGCTCTCCTCTACCTGTGGCGCCCCGAAGATGAGACCGAGATAGAAAGATAGAGATGGGTTCAACTTTTTCAAGTGCTTGGCTGTTGAGTTCTCCATCCTCGCCAGCAGCTCTTTACTTTCCCCGTTCACGTCGAGGGGTTCCTTTCTTTCCCATTTTTGGGCCAAATTTAAACAACTGCATGGACAAGCTCCTCTTCTTT